TTATAAGTCAGCTTCTTTTTTAAGCATCTGGCAAGAGTAGCAAAAACCTTTAACTGTGACATTTTTGTCAGGGCTCTTCTGCTTACACTTTGCTATAGTTTCTCCACAGCAATGCAACAATTTCTCCACCACCAAGGAGTCTCTAGTCTCCCTCAAATCTTGCTGCCCAGGCTTGGAAGCACTCTTTCTCTTATCCTAGCCCCACAGTCATTGGTGATTTGCAAGACCATACTGATTTGCAAGACCACGGGTCTGCAGTTAAGGTAGCTGGAGACCAGAGACAGCAAACTGTAATGGCTAAAAAAAGTCAACCATTAGGCTAACACCACTTCTTTGCATACTATATGTGTTGTAAACGGAAAAAAAAATTACATGCAGGAGACTCGAGATTTCATAGGAGTTACCACAATGTGGAAAGCAAGATGTATTAGAGCCTCAAAAAGAAATAAAACTAAAATATGATTTTTAATTTACGTTTTACAAACTTAAATAATTAAGGCGGGTGGCTTAGTGGATAAGAAGTTGTGCCGTCAACCCAAATGCAAGCAGTTCAAATACACCACCAGCTGTCTGCAGGTGGAAGATGGGAAATCTCCTTCAAAGATTTATAATCTTTGAAAACTAGCTGGGTATTGGATCTGTTCTGACTCAACAGTACATTATATCAACCACATAAACAGATAATGGAATATAATTACAAAAAACCACTAACCTTATAAGACATCAGAGTATACAAAACATTGTTGTTGTTTTTATGTGTCATCGAGTCTCCTGTGGCTTATGTTATTGTTGTTATGTGCCATCGAGTGCTTCGATTCATAGCAACCCTATGTACAACAGCCTTAAACTCTGTTCTGTCCTGTGCCAATCTCATTGTCTCCATCACACTCATTCTGATTACCCCAGTCACCAAATCAATCCATCTCCCAGAGGGCCTTCCCCTCCTCCACCCTCCCAAGCATGATGTCCTTCTCCAAGGACTGGTTTCTCCTTACAACATGACCAAAGTATGTCAGGCGAAGCCTTAGAATCCTTGCCTCCAAGGAGCAGCCCGGTTTAACCCTCTCCAAGATGAATCTTTTTTTGTCTTAGCAGTCCATGGTACCCTCAATACTCTTCTCCAACACCAAAGCTCTAAGGCATCGATTCTCCTTCTGTCCTCCCTAGTAATTGTCTAGCTCTCTGAGGCATAACATGTGATTGCAAAGGCCATGGCCTGTACCAGACTCACTTTATTCTCCAGAGAGACACTGTTGCTCTTCAGTACTTTAGAGAGGTCCCTAACAGCAGGCTTTCCCATCGCAACACATCCTTTAATTTCCTGGCTGCTGGTGCCAAGAGTGTTGATTGTGGCACCAAGTAGACTAAAGCTGTGAACAATCTCAATCTCTTCACCATCCATCCTGATGCTGCCAGTTGATCCAGTCGTGAGAATCTTTGTCTTCTTGACATTGAGTCTCAGTCCATACTGAAGGCTGCAGTCCTTGACCCTCTGCAGCAAGCGCTTCAGGTCCTTCTCAGTTTCAGCAAGCAGGGTTGTGTCATCTGCATAATGCAGCTTGTTGATAGATCTTCCACCAATCCTGATGCCACCTTTCTCCTCATAGAGCCCAGCCTCCCGGATGATCTGTTCTGCGTACAGGTTGAAAAGGTATGGAGACAGGACACATCCCTGGTGTACGCCCTTCCCAGTTTTGAACCATGCAGTGTTTCCTTGCTCTGTTCTGACGACTGCCTCTCGGTTTAAGTGTAGGTTTCGCATTAGCACGATCAAGTGTTCTGGGATTCCCATTCTTATCAGTGTTAGCCACAGTTTGTTATGGTCCACAGAGTCAAACACTTTTGCATAACCAATGAAACACAGATAGACATTCCTCTGGTACTCCCTATTTTCGGGCAAGATCCATCTAACATTAGCTACAATATCCTAGTACCACGACCCCTTCTAAACCCAGCCTGGACGTCTGGCAGTTTTCTGCTGATGTGCGGTTCCAGTCATTTTTGGATAATCTTCAGCAGAATCTTGCTTACATGTGAAATCAATGATATAGAGACCCTATATCCAAGAGTCCGAAACCATTCTCCATTTTGTGCCAATCTTATTATCTCTGACACAACTACCCCCATTACCCCAGTCACTGAATCAATCCATCTTATTGGAGGTCTTCCTCTCCTGCGCTGTCCCTCCACCTTCCCAAACATGACGTCCCTCTCCAAGGACTGGTCTCTCCTTGCAACATGCCCAACATATGTCAGATGAAGCTTCAGAATCCTTGCCTCCAAAGAGCAGCCTGGTATCACCCTTTCTAGGACAAACCTGTTTGTTCTCCTAGCAGTCAATACTCTTCTCCAGTACCATAGCTCAAAGACATCAACTCTCCATCTATTATCCCTAGTCATTGTCCAGCTTTCTGATGCGTAACAAGTAATTGCAAAGAAGATGACCTGGATCATTTAGACTTTAAAAACATAAGACTGTGCGAGCTCTGGTGGCCTAGTGGCAAGAAGCTGCACTGCAATCCCAGAGATGTGAGGTTTGAATCCACCAGATGCTCTGCTGAAGAAGGAGGGACAATCTCCTCCTATACCAGTCAGATCTGATTTGATGGTACACACATAAAAAAAAAAAGTAATAAAAATTAAAAAAAGCTCAACAACAATAAATGTAATTCTTAAAAAAAGCTTTAAAAAAACAACAGAAAAACATAAGACTGAGGATACTTAAGTTTAAAACATAATGAGTTCTCTTGTACATTTCTGATAAGTAATTATAAGACTGTTTTACATCCAGAATATCCAATTGCCCGTTAAGAACAACAAATATGAGCCGGCAATGAGGAATTTTGAAGGGCAAGGCCACCACTGATAATGTCACAATTTAATTTTATTACTTCAGTAACCACAAACGAGGAAGTGAGGATAGAAATTAATCATCTTTAAATCACCGACTATTATATTTACTTGGGAACACAGAGTTACTTAGTAAATTGAAGAACATATTTGGTTCTCTCAGGAACTTCATCCTGGATGCCAAGCAGGTGGCATTGCTTTTCCAGGACCAGGAGAGTAGTGCTCAACTGTACAGACATCACCTTGTGTGTCAGATACTGCCTGTTTCCATGTTGTAATGTGCACAATAGGCTCCCAACTTCAATCACCTGCTTCGCTTTGGAGTTCACGTTTCCAGAGAAGTAGCAGCCCCTGTCCATTAGTGTAGACTGATGGGAGTGGATGCAATCATTAGGGGGGGAAGTATCAGATGCTAATTGTTGTTAGATATTATCAAGTCAAGTACAACACACAGCAATCCTATGAACAACAGATCTGAACCTTGTCCAGTCATGTGCCATCCTCACACTTCCTTACACAGTAGAGCCCATTGCAGCCGTCACTGTGTCAATCCACATGGTTGAGGGTCTTCCTCTCCTTCACGACCCTCTACCTTTCCAAGCATCAGGTCCCTCTCCAAAAAGATAGCCTCTCCTAGAAACAAGCCCGAAGTTTGTGAGATGAAGCACATCATCCTTGCCTCCAAAGAGCATTCCAGCTAGACCTTCTCCAAGACATACATATTTGTTTGTTATTTTGGCCATGTATGGGATGTTCAGCATTCTTCTTCAGTTTTTAAGACTCTTAAGTTTTAAAATTAAGTGACTTGATGACACACCCATCTTGGTTATCTTCCTTCCTGTTTTATTTACCAATATCCAGCTGGTGTTTCCTATGCTCCCATCCCAAATCAACTATATATTCTTGAATTCCTGTCTCAGGTACTCCTGGGGAATTGAACCTAAGATACTCTGAGTTGGATTTATTTTTTTTCAGACCTATTTGGCCTCTCACCTAAGATTCTCCTAACTATAAATCATGTAAAAGAACTCAATGTTGAGCTGTCCTAGTGTCACAGCTAGTAGGAATGAGGGTGGGCTCTCCACTCCCTAAAGATTATTAATAGCCCAGAGCTGCACAAAGAAGAACTTTATAAATGGCAGGTATGGGAAAAGGTAAGGGTCAAAAGGAAAAGAAGTAAATGAAGTCGGAAGTCAGATGGAGAGCCATAGAAGTCCTTGGGTGAGAACTCAAACAGGAAGAGTTTGGAGGTAGGAGTGAGCTGAATTTTACTTTCCTTCCATTTGACCTGGAGCACACACCAAGCTTGCTTTCTTTAAACTCCCCGAGTCTCCTCTGCCCTCACTTTCAGAATCTGCCTTTGTGTTGGCATTCTATGCCAGCTTTTGCTCACTTCTCCCTACAGTTCCTCATCCCATCTCATGCCTTTGGCCATCAGCCCTGAAGCCTTTTGTGATGTCTCTTTCCAAAGGGGACTTTCTTCCAGGGAGTCACACTTCTGTATTGGAGCCTATGGGCAACCATGAGGCTATATCTACACCTTCCTTGCCAGTGTGATGTTCTTTGTAATTGCTTACCAATCAACAGCATCTCAGAAACTGTCCAAAAGCCTTTATATCTATATCATTCACTCGCTGACTTCCGTCCGAGTGGTTCTGACCCATAGTGACCACCACCCTCCCACCCCCTGCAATCAGGCTTTTAAGACTGCAAATAGCAATGAAAGGAGATTCCTCATCTCTCTTTCCTAGGGCCACTGAGCGTCTGAACCACGCGAGATGAGCAGACTTTAGGTTTGCTGCACAGCTCTCTACAGATTATACCACCAGAGCTTCCTTTTATCTTATCAATTCAACTCATTGCCGCTGAGTTGGAACTGACAAATAGCTGAGCTTCCTGAGATTGTCAATCACATAGGAGATGATTGTGTGTCCTTCTCCTGAGGAGACACTGGTGGATTTAAACCTGAAGAGGTGCAGCCTTTGAGCTGGCAGTGCAACACCCTGTGGACGCGGCCACCAGAGCTTGAATCCATTCTTGATTCCTTCCAAGTCACAGCCCACTGGGAAACACATAACAGCCAATCATTCATTCCTCTTACCTTCCCTACTCCATCTTCTGCCACTTAGGTTATTTGCTTGTTTGCTTACCAGAGCCTTCTTTCTGTTTAAATATCTTCCTCACAGTCTGGCAGGCAGAGCCGTCCCCAAGGCACACGCCACAGCGATCCTCCGTGGCGTTGGAATCGATCTCATAGTCACAGCCGACCATCTGCGGAGGAAGAGATGCTGAAGATGAGTGAGAGACAGACATAGGACACCACACCTGCCTTCAACTTGACCTTCTCCTTCCCCTCTTTCCTCTTTGTAAGATGGAAACCAAAGAGCCACACACACTGCCACCAACAGTTGGGGTTCATGTCTGTGGGACTAAGTATGACTACCAAGTAGGGATTCCAAGACAGTAAGTCTTCATAGGAGCAGACTTTTCATCTCTCTCCAATATATTACTGTTGTTATTAGGTGTCCTCAAGTCCGGTATGACCCATAGCGACCCTGTGAACAGCAGATCTGGACCCTGCCCTATCCTGTGCCATCCTCACAATCTCTGACACACTCAAGCCCATTGCTGCAGTCACCTTGTCAAGCCACCCGGCTGAGGGTCTTTTTTCTTTTGCCACCCCTGTACCTTTCCAAGCATGATGAACTGCTGACCTCACCTGTTAGCAGCTAAGTGTTTAACCTCCATCCCACCAAGGCTCCCTATGAAAGTGAATGATGTTGGAGGAAGGACTGTTCTCATGAATTACACTCCTGAGCTACCAACCACCATCTTTTTATTTGAATCTCCCTTGGAGAATATTTCCTTATCTTAGTGGTTGTGTTGTTGGAGCATTATCGAGTCAGAACCAGCTTGTAGCTAATCCTCCAGCAGCCTTTCAGAGGCAGTTAATCATGTGAGAGGAGATTTCAAGGTGTTCACCAACAGTAAACAAAACTGTACATTGAGGAAAGAGAAGAACACATTGAATTTGGTGCCCAGTTTCCCTGAAGTTCAGAAACCTTAACCCAGTTCCACAAATTTAACTATTTAAATGTCCTTGAATTAGAGTTGGTGGAATATTTCTTTTAGATGTGTAGGTTTCCTCACCTCAGTGCGACTTCACAGGAGTAATGTAATTATTGCCGTTGTTGTTAGGCACCATCGAGTCAACCGGGACTCACAGAGACCCTGTGAATAGTGGATCAATCCTTGCCGATCCTGTGCCATCATAAATCTCCACCCTGCTCAAGCCCTCTGTGGCACTTTAATGAAACACTGAAATGCAATTTCGGTGCACCCACAGTCACTTCCTCTGTTTTGCTCATTGGGTTTATTATTTTTTTTTCTTCTCCTCAGTAGACAAACTACCTGCTGTTGGGAGATTATTCTGGATTAAAATAGTGGCTTCAAGGAAAATATGTGCTGGAATAATACTGCCTATACCTATTGGTCTACTCTCATTGGAAATAGGGTTTTCTTTGCTGTAATAACTAGATCATAAACAAGCAGGGGGTGTGTTCTAAATCCAATTATTTCAGAGTTAATTGAAGAAAGAGATTAAACACATAGATGTACAAATAGGGACAGTAAAGATCCATGTGAAGGTCAATCTACAAACTGCTGCTGGAACAGGC